CGATGTCAACAAACTATTGTTAGAAATATGACAAAACTTGTTAATATATTATATATATGCTAATAGACTAGGATATCAACAAGTTTTGACAATAGAATGTGAGTAGAAATACGACCTCAGATAAGATCAGTCTGCTACCATTTTCTGTTCAAATCTGTTGCCAGTCTGATGACATTCTGCTAACATTTTGCTGATTGGTATACATGAATTATGTGTAGATGGCAAATCAAGAGAAAAAAATTAAGGTATGCGTAATTGGTGCTGGTGCGGCTGGTTTATGCGCAATCAGACACTTGGCAGCAAATATGACCTTTGAAATAACAGCCTACGAGCAGACAAATGAAATAGGAGGTACATGGGTCTATAAAGAACAAGTTGGTCTTGATGAGAATGGTTTACCAATTCATTCTAGCATGTATCAGAATTTGAGGTTTGATATTTTTTGTTCTATTATAATTATCTTTATTATATATAAACAGAGATATCTTCTTGCAAATTATAATTATACAAATTAGAAATTATTTTTGTGATTGTGTTTATTTAAATATTTTTAAAAAACATTTTATTTGATTAATATTTATTTTTATATTGTAAAATCAGAAAAACTTTTTATTAATTTTGATAATATTCTTAATCTTAAAACCAATATCAGATAATGTATTGGAGATAATGAATTAAAAATTGAAGATTGTCCACTATATAATTGCGCTTTGCATTGTAATTGATAATATTGCAATGATGCACTTCGTATCGTTTCATGCGATTTCCTCAACCGACTATCTATCAGGGGCTGCCGAAACACTGGCAATTAACGCGATCGTATAACCATCACATATCAAAAGCGCATCGCTTTGATAAACTTTATTAAACACGTTTCCAAATAATTCGGAGAAATTACGCGACCATTATTTCGACTATGTTGCTTTATGGAGCTCTTTATCCAGCTCCAAAATGGAAGGTCTTCCAAAGCGATTCTCGCTTTCGACGTCTCTGTCTTTTTTGAGCATTTTGTACCACTCGAAAATCTTTGATCTTGACATGCATTTGTCACTGAAACACTTCTACAACATGTACATTGTTTTTGTATGCGAAATTTCATTCCGGTCGTGGAGATTTGAGAGAATATACATACACACACATATATATATATATATATATATATATGTATTATATATTGTAATATATGTATATATGTGTATATCATTGTATTATTGATTGTTGTTGTTTTTAAACACGTTATTGCGATAAATATCATCACATATGGTCGAAAGGATAAGATACCTTCCCGATAAGCAGGAGATCCAGGTTCGATTCCTGGCTGAGGTGGTATTTTTTCGCAAAATAATTACGAGTTTTCACGACTGGTTCGTGATCGGGTCCCGTCGTGACGCACATCCTTTTTTCTTATTTAGGATTCGTTCCGAAAACAAAATTTTATACAAATTCTTTGCTCAACAAAATTCGACATGTTAAAAATCGCCGGAAATACTTTTTTTCAATTACAAAACAAGTGTTTATAGATTAGAAAAAGTAATAGTATGAAATTTTAAACAGAAGTTAAAAACAATCCTACCAATCTAAGAAAAAAAATATTTTTTCGATATGTTTGTGTAGTTTAAGGCCGCGGTCCGGATTCATACTCAAAACATTTTTTATATCAATTCTATTTTTATTGTTCATTAGATGTAAAATAAAGATAGAATGGCGTTAATGCTTTGAGCGTGAATCGGACCATGACCTAAATGAGCCAATCCCAATACTTTCTGATCATAGTAGTATATGTGATTGCAGCTCTGTGCTTCGGATACTCGGCGCCATCATTCACATCGCGATAAATTTTCGCGATTCGCTCATTAATTGCGCTTTAATCGCGCGACACGACAAATTATCTCGTGTGATATTTTGTAAAACTTGAATGACACATTCAGCGAATTACACCCAAATTCATTCGAATGCATTCATATACATTCGAATATACATTCCGCATCGCATCCAAAAGACAGCATTTGATTAATCAATTTGAACAACTTGTTTTTACGCTAACATACGCGCTATTATATTTTTGTATTGTATACTTTATTTATGAATACAGGGTGAGGAAAAAAAGTTGGTATCCTTGAATAACTCGGAAAATATAAGTTTTATAGAAAAATGTTTCAGACAAAAGTTATAGGATTTAAAAAGATCCATTTATTGATCTTATCAGTTTGAGTGATATCGCCAAGATCAGATCAAGATCACATCAATTTTGTTAAATAGAACACCCTAGTTTTTATTGCAGTATCTAATAGCTGGTGTCAAGAATTTTTCAAAACACTGTAAAAAATATTTTTTCTTTAAGTACTTTCCGAGATAAAAGAGTTGAAAGTTACAATACCGCCGGCATTAGCATTACACAAGATGTATCACGTGGGTGTTGCCTGGTCGGATTTATACCTCTTAATGTGTGTGAATCAGTTAACTAAAGCAAAATTAATCATGGATCCAGCCAATTAAGGCAAGATCGGCATAATTCAACCAAAGAAGGCAAGATCGGCAAGATCAGAGCACGTTCCGACTGATGAAGACAAAATTGCTAGCAATTATCCACCAAAGCTAAGATCGTTGAGAATCTACATTAAAAGATTTATCAAATGTTCGAACTGCGCACCATTAATGATTTAACAACGTGCAATTCGTAAAAATTGGACACAGCATTCCTAATCATATTTCGATCAAGTAGAGCAGCTTCTTCAAGAATACGATTGCAGAGATCCTCCAGATTATCTGGTTGTATCTTATACATCTCTATCCTTAAGATAACCTCACAAGAAGAAGCGGTAATCTAGCTGGCCATTCAATCTCTTCTCTATCCATCGTTTCAATCTTCCCTATCTTTTGATTAGAAAATACTGTGTTCAAATAAACACGCATTTTTCTATTATAATGTGATAAAGCACCGTCTTACTGAAACCATACCTTGGCAAAATTTTCACCTGCGACCTGTCTGATTATCGAAAGTATCTGAGCTCTTAACATAGTTTCATATTTTTCTGCTGTCAAATTGTCATCAATGAAAATGGCCCAATTAACATATCATTCAGAACATTTACCCAGATATTTAATTTTTGTGAATATTGAGTATGGCTTTCCAACATCCAATGAGGATTATTATCACTCCAATATCTGAAGTTGTGTCTATTAACTTGACCGTGTCTATTAACTTAATTCAAAGATTGCTTCATCGGAAAAACGATGTTAAATAGAAAGTTGGGATCGGCGTTAATTCTCTCCATCATTAAATCACAAAATTCCAGGCGACGGTCAGGGTCATTGTCGTTAAACTCTTGTACTAATTTAATTTTGTAGGGATGAAACTTGACGTGTTTTAAAATTGTATGCACAGATTTATCAATATTATGCTGTTGAGATGCTATACGAAGAAATGCTATACGAAGAGATGCTATACGGAGAAATGTGGATTCTGAACAAATGATTGTGCATCTAATTGTGATTGTGTCTTCCTTGTTAGTCGCTGACGCTGGTCGTCCTGAAATCGGACAATTTTTCACTGTACCAAACTGTTCAAAGCGCTTAATCGTTCAATCTATAGTAGATTTTGAAATATGAGTCCGCCCATTACGAAAGATTCAATTAAAGAGCGCCCTTTATTGTAGGATCGCCTATGATCCCCTCAACCTCGCATCATCAAGAGAGATATTCTTTGTTGCTCTGAAAGATATGTCATAATAACAAACTAATGAACCGATGACCTGATTCATATTGCAGGGCCTCATCTGTGACAATGTATAACTATTATTCACAATCTCGTATTTTGAATCGAAATATTATTGTTACATTAAGCACTTGATTTTGAGCTTTTTTAACTATTTTTCTGTTCGATTTTTATTTTTTAAGTTTATTTATTTAATATTCTACTTGCTGATAATCACACAGTAGCAAACATATTCTAATTTACGGCAATTAATATCACATTTACGTTAAGTTTTTACGTTAAGTTTCAGAATATTAAAAATTTAATGATAACTTCGTTGGTACATTCTGGGTAATGGTAGTACCGGCGGTATTGTAATTTTCAACTCTCATAACTCGGAAAGTACTTAATGAAAAAATATTTTTTACGGTTTTGCAAAGCTCTTGACATCAATTAGATTCTGAGATAAAAATAGAGTGTTCCATTAAAAAAATTGATGTGATCTTGACCTGACCTTGGCGATGCCACAAAGTTAAATTGATAAATTCAGTAAATAGATCTTTTTAAGCCCTACAATTTTTGTCTGAAACATTTTTCTAAAACTTATGACAACGTTTCTTAAAATAAAGTAAAAATTTCCGGATTCGACATTTGAATCATAATATCTCTATTTGTAGAGTACGCAGAAAAAATAAAATCATTTTTATTATGCAAATTGAATCCAAGCTATCGATTGAGTTTACTTAAAACTTGATCAATCGATCAAGTTTAATGAGATCCGATAATCTCGAGTACTCGCAAATTATCGGCTTGCATAAAGTCGGTAATGTTTCAATTGTCTGTATGACTTGATACCCGAGACACTACCCTGTCTCTTGATAAACCGAGCGATCGCACAATTCTTTTGTACGTAGAGAATGATTAAGTGTTCGCAGATGAGATTCATATCAGCACACCGGGCATCATGCGTTCGTCTCTTTGACTTTGCTATTGCATTGTATGACACTTTTTGAATCTTAGACTTCCGACTTAGACAATGCTGAACGAGGTAAGTAACCGCCGCAATTTTGTTGATTTTAAACGTGTCCCATTATTGAGTAGTATATTTCCATTATCGAATAGTTATCAGGTTGGTTATGAGAAGTCGTGTCAAAAGAGTGGTAGCCTCTACGAAGACTCGTATGTTGATGGTAGCACAGCAGATGGATCTCAAACAACTTTGTGAATCGAATCTTGCATATTCAAGACCTACGTGGAATGATCGTGATAGCGATCTGATCAACGATAACTTGTGGACGATAACTTGTTGTGGATGCTTAAATAATGTCACATTCTTCGGCATGGACTTATGGGTAGATCTTGTGAGATCGTTTTCCAATTTTCACTCTTCATCCAAATCACAATGACCACTGCCGAAACTCGTTGAATGACTGAGGAATTTCTCCGAGTTTCTCAAGAACGAACTGAAGAAGATGCGTGAGCTATTGATCGAATTCAATACCGCACAATCGCTTTCGATTAACCAATTAAACACTGATGAAATAATGGTATTGTCCGTGAAATCCGGTAATTCAAGCCACCATCTACCAAAATTGATCAGACGTTAAGAAGAAGGTAATCAAGCACATGATTCGCAAACACGTCGAGCTTCCCGGTTGTTGTGATCAGGAAGAAAGACAGTAAACCACGTTAATTATATGTTAACAATCAGAGAGACAAGAAAGAAATTATCAATT